AAAATCTACGTAAAATGCTACACTGATAAGACGATTCAAAAGGAGGTTCAATGCTACCGACATGTGACAGAAACTCGTTCACCTTGTGATGGTGGAACGAGGATGAAACTTCATCATAACTCGCAGAAATTGGCCCGAGCCTCAGAGTTGGCTCGCCTGGCAGCATATTGTAATAATTGGTTATGAATTCCCTGATTGGTCATGAGTTGGTGTCCCGCTCGCGCAACCTCGGACCTGATGAACGGAGTCCGATAACGTGCCATTATATTTTTTCGCAAACTGTTCGAGATAAATCTTTGTGAATTTCAGACCCAAAGGGTCCAGCAATTTATAATAGCCCCTGCTCCCTCACCCTCCAGTGATGTCAAGTCCAATCCCTCTTTACGAAGTATATGTAGGCTATTGGTCGTCACAGGGTCTGGGCCAGGACCCGAAACCGTGAGCAGTGTGGCAGCATCGAGTGCGCAATTATCTGCGGTCCACCGGGAGTGCACCATTTTGAGATAGAGCGCATAATCGATGTAGGTGTCACGCTCGCATCCAAGAGAGAGACCACGTAACTGTGGAGCCACGGCTGTCCTCTCAATGGGACCGGACGCGGTGAGAGCCGATATCAAGGTAGCGATCTCTGTGATGACAGGGTTGCCCGAGCCGCTCAAGAGTATCCCGAGCTCTGCGATGGATGGCACCTTTCGTAGGATTTCGAGAGTAGCATCGGTCGCAGGTGCTCCTCGAAGGCGAAGCTGCTGGAGATACCGGAAGTCCGGACGAGCAAGGGCTCCAGATGATAGATTGGATGGTCATTTCCACAAACGTAGATCATCATTTGCTGCAAAGCAGGCGCTTTGAGGTAGGCCAAGACGTCCGAATGCGATACGTACAGACGCCGAAGAGAGAACAGGTCAAATTTCACCGTATTGTAGCCAGGGTTCATCGTCAAAAAAAAAAATCGATACGGGCTTCCACCTGGTTTCGTGCGAGCTTGAGAATGCCCCGGTGCATCTCCCGTGGGCCGTCAAGATTGTAGCGAGTGAGCTAAAAGGGTAACCGGGACATGACAGTGTCGATTGAAGACGTCGACGTCTCGGAGAACAGAAGCTGTTTGGAAGCAATGGATGGACTGCACTGTCAACTGGCCTTCTTCCCAATCCCACTGGATCCACCGCTTGCGCAATAATGGGAGGCGATGTTCAAGGGCGCCGAGAAGAGAAACCAGATCCCCGAGGCTAGCCTAAGAGTGAGTTCCTCCGTAACCGAGTTGAATGGTGTTCGAAATTGCCCAAAGACTGTTCTTGAGCCCCTTGAGTCGCGACGAGAGGCACAACGTGTTCGTGGCAAGCCGGAATCGAGACACAGCCACACCGTCCCTCTAGCACCCGATGGGACGAGAAAACATCAAATGCAAAAGAAAAATACATTAACACCAGGACGCGCGCCAATTAGAATTGCCGCTCCAGCTCCTCCACCGTCGGCGGACCCCCTGCTCCGTTGCTGTTCCCATTGCCGTTGGCGTTGCTGTTGCCGTTGCCGTTCCCATTGCCATTGGGGTTCCCGTTGCCGTTTGCTCCTTCATGGTAATATCCCGTGCGCACGGGCGCAAGCGTATACCCAGGGCCCCCGCCGACGCTCACGCCTCCAGCAGGGCTCCCCGCGCCCCCACGGCTCGGCACCCCGCCCGACCCCGCAGACGCGGACCCCCCACGCGGATACGCCCCCAGCGGCGGCAGATCGAACGGGCCCCCGCCCCCGGCGCCGGGGAACCACGGGCGCTTCCGCTCCCTCTCGCGCTCGCGTTCGCGCTCCTCTTCGGTCCAGAAGAGGAAACCGGCACAGCCACACCACCACTTGCTTCCTCCAGTCATTGGCTTTGGACTCTTACAGCGAGGTACATTGTAACATATACATGTATCATGTTGGTTCCTCCACACCATCTTCCACGGAATGTGAAGAGCCGAGTTCTGCTGCAGCACGCGTCTTCCACAAATCCCTCGAATACCGAGCTCAAACTTCGACTCGCGGAGATGAGGATGGCATAGCATGGAGCTGTTTCAACGCGGTCGACTCTGCGCCCCTGCCTTGCGCAACCGTGCCGGAGATGCGATTGCGCGCTTGCTGCTAACGAGAGCATAGATGGCCGTCGAGACTCGACTCGGAGAATCGTATGGGAGAGGTCTTCAAGGAGTTCTGGCCGCTGAAGATTTCTTCTCGGCCATTATCTGTGGACGGCCAGCTGCCGAAGCCGCTGGACATCGACGATACGCTAGAAACCCGTTTGCCATCGACGCTGGAGCCGCATTACGTGGACGCGGGGGGCGGTCAACATCCGCGCGCACGGCATGCGCGCTACGCATGGAGGGCGAGCCCGTACGCAGCGTGTATGTACTTCAATTCGTTCACTAGACGACACCGGCGGGGACTGCGCAGCGCAGGAGAGAAGGCAGCGTACCATGGCACAAGCGGCAGGCGATCTGTAGGCGACTACGACTGGCGCAGTGCCTCGATGGCCAATGTGTATCCCGGATGGATGAAGGGTGTGGCGTCGTGCAGCGCCGCTCGTGCTCATCCGATGACGAACTAAGCTGCGCACCGTCCTCTCCTCCAGACGCACTTTGGTCGCCATCGTGCACCAGAAAAGGAGCTCGCCCACCCACGAACCACCCATCCAGGCCCGCGCGCTCTCCGCACCGCGCACTCACCACGCGTCCTATCGCCACCCCGTCAAGCCCACCATCTACGCCTTACACCCAAATCTCCGGCCCGCTCGACGACCACGGCGCAAGTGCGATGACATCCGCGCGCGAATTGTCCGGCATGCATCCGCGCTCACCAGAAGATGAGGATGACGAGTCGACTCGGCGCTGTGCACTTCTCACCCTCACGATCCGCCGTTGAGACCTCCTCTGTCTTCAAGCGGTAGATCACACGCCACCACCACTGTAGTACTGTTCCTGTCGCCATTCCTCCCCCAGCTACACTGCGTCTGTACGCACACCGCACCACCGTATTTCGTCGTTACCCCTTCCCCATTCACCCACCTCTACTTTCTCAGTCCTGCGCATCGTGTCTGCCGACGTCCGTCCGCCCTTCGTCTTTCCCTCCACATCTCTCCCCTCCGTCCATCATTCGCTCTTCCTCCCATATCCCGCGCATGTCGCTTCCGTCCTCCCACTGTCCCCCTCCATCCCTTCCTTCCGAAAGACTCCCTCGGCTGCGCGCGCGACTCCCCTTTCGATCCCGCTCTGCCTCCCTTTCATTCTCACCACATACCCCCTCCTTGCGCGTATCTGCCTACACCTACGTCCTCGGGCCGTGTCTTCCCCGTCAATAACCCTTCCCTCCCGCTCCTTCCTCAGCCTTCATTCCGATCCACTCCTCGGCTGCGCGTGCGACTCCCCCTTTCTCCGTCCCGCTCCTTCTTCCTTTCTTTTCCCCCTCATCTCACCCCTCTCCTCCTCGCTGGTCCCCCCTCCCCTCTCCTCCCGCATATTATCCCTTCCTGGATTCTCCGATTCTTCCCCTCTCCACAGTATCGCATATTCCCTCTCCGCCGGCTCCGTAGTCTGCGCTCGCCTCAACGTTCCGTCTTCCCTTCCCTACGTCATCCTCACTCTTCTCCCCGCACGCATTCTCCCGCGAATGCAGCCGGCGTAGTCCCTCTACTGTATCCGTTTGCACCAAATGTGCGGCGTCCTGCAGCACCGTTCGTGCTTAGCCGACAACGAGTCTAGCTCCGCCCATCGGCAGTACCATACTCCCAATCCCTCCGCCGCCTAGGCGCAGCTCCGGGCGCCCTGGGCGGACATTGCGGACGAGCAGCTCGTCACGATCGTGGATCACGCACGCGGCGTGCAATGCTGTAATCGACCGCTCCACCAATACCGTCCCCATCGCCCCCTCTGTCCGTTGCGGCCGCGTAGACGTTTTTCGACTGGAATTAATGAAGCCTAGCCCACGACCCGAGCTCTGCCCTTCGTTTGCAGGATGTTTTCGATTCCGCTTCGAGCACGCGGCACGCACCCCCTCGACCTCGGGCGCGGCGCTGGATTGCACGAGCGCACTCACGACGCATCATGCGCCATCACCCGTCAGCCCCGCCGCGTCAGGGTCGTACGTCCCAAACCTCGACCGCGCGACGTACTTGCGACCACGGAAGCAAGAGCCCCGCCGCAGTGTCTTTGGACGGCCGTGCTGGAGGGATGCAGCGTTCGGGGTACATCGTCTCTTGCGCTCACCCGACGATGCGATGACGAAGCGGCTGCGCCCTTCGTCAGCAACGCGCTCCCCATTCCCCGCAGAGACCTCTCTGTCGTCAAGTGGAGCCGGCAGGTCAGCGCGGCCGGTGATCTAGCGCGCTGCAATACATCTCGCGTGCTCTCGCCTCCATCCCGTTCCCGTTGCGCACAGGCTTCCTCAGCCCTATCGCATCCATTCGCATCCATTCGCAACAACCTTACGCCCCGCTCGTGCCATCTAGGACTATGTGCTGGCCGTGGCAAAGACGACCGCCCGAGATTCGCATGCTCCCTCATTTCTCCCCAATCTATGTCAGCCCCACCCCACCCCTCCCCTTCTCGCGCGCGCTCTCCTCCATCTTCCGCTCCGCATGTCCTCCCACTTCATCTACTCGATGTGCCCGCTTGTTTCGCCTTCTCGCCCTGCCTCTCTCTGTCGGGTGGGGAAGTAGACCCTCCGCGATGTGGGGTGCACCGGCTGCACCCACGCAACGGACCTTAGAAGGGCACGGAATCCCAGCACCCCTCGTACGACGGCAGACATCCCATATTTGGGCTGATTACCATGACTTCAATTCCTCTGCGTCGTGGATATATAGAGTACGGGTACTTGAATGGAAACCTCTTTATCTTTGACTTGTAGTCGGGGTAGTGTATCGCAACGAAGATAGCGACCCAGATGAATGCGGGCGGGAAGATGGGAGCCCGTGCGGATGGGATTGGCAGGTGCACATATAAAAAGTAGGATGGTGAGGAACCAAAAAGACATGACCACCGCAGGGGTCGAACCTGCAATCTCCTGATAACATCATTACAAATCGTAGTCAGACGCGATGCCATTTCGCCAGGCGGCCATGAGAGTGGGCTGCAGCGTTAGGAATATGAGTAACTGGAGTGATCGATCACTAATCGCGATCGAACTTTGATTCGAAACGCAAACTTATTTTCCACGCTGGTTGAAATATCAATCTTGAACTATTCTGCCGACTTTGTGCAGTTATAGGCCATCGACTCATCGAAGGCAGCCCAGGACGTCGTAGTTTGATTCCAGGTCGGTCCCTAAAGCCTTTGGGAGGACCTCCGGCCGGGAGATGATTTAAACCAGATAAAACTGATGTACGACCGGCAAAACGGATTTGCGTTGAATCCTTTGCGAAGGGACAGCGCCCGGGAGCAAAACATTGACCACCGCAGGGGTCAAACCTGCAATGTCCTGATAAACGGTAAATATCGTAGTCAGACGCGATGCCATTTCGCCAGGCGGCCGATGAAAATGGGTGCATGGGTGCTCGCTAGATCCCGACGCCTCGATTGGATTTTGGACCCGGAATTTGAGCTCGTCAAGACGCAGACGACGAGATGGAGATGTTCTTTAATATGTTTGATGGATTATACCTGGAGCGAGAGGGGAGTGTTTCCACACGTTGCAGCTCTGCCCGAGTGGGACGATGAGCATTAGGCTCGGACCCTGAACAGTTGGATGCAGTCATATAGTTACCCTTTGTCTCGAAAGCACTTGAAACGAAACAGCGGCGCTGCTCGTAAAGTGTTGGATAAAGATTTCCTTATGGTTTTGCTGATCAAGCTGAGATTGACTGCGAGTTGACACAATGTTTCATTTGGCAGGTCGCCCCAAAGCGAGGGAGCAGAGTGAATGAAGGATTCCCCGACGGGAAAGTTGAAGACGCCGTATTCAATGGGACTAGTAGGACAGAGTCTCTTGAGTTCGAAAGTTCCACAACCGACTGGGGGTGTTCAGTTTAAGACGCGCTGTATGGCCCACCTCAGGTTCTGGGACCACACGCTGTGCGGTGTCTGCTCCGGCCGATTGCTGCGCGATAGAAGCCCCACACGAAGCTTCGCGTATCCCGGATCTTACAGTTCGACACATTTATCAAGTCGAACAGAGTTTGAACCTCGTGATGGCGTACCCGATACGTCCAAGTTCCCGCAGTGGAGGATGATGCTCGTGGTGTCAGGGCGGACAGCACGCGACCACCTAGGTCAGAATTTAAGACATCGCGAATACAAAATGAACCGAAGCTTCGGGCGCAGAGTTGCAAGAGGGACTCTGCCAGTATCAGATTGGAGTTGAGATGTGCAGTGGTTTCGGGACGGTGGGAGACAGCGCGGCCTCACTATCATCTCGTTCGTGTTGAGTTTTGATGTTTTTGCTGCGGTGTTGCCAGGTATAAACGACGGATTACCGGGGGCTTGTCTGAGGCAGAGTCCAGGGCGAGTTCGACCGGTCTAAAGGCGGAGATAGCACAGAAGTCCTGGAATACAACCCAATTGTTCCACATCGTAAACGGAACCTTGGTTGAAGAGTCACGAGCCTGGAATCCGCCAACAGTGCGTGCGTTTCAGAAGACCCCGCCAAAATCTGCCAGCTCCCCTCATGGACGCGTGGCGACGGTCATTTTTAAGTTGGTTAACGTCCATGAAATCCAGATCCTCCCTTAGGAACAGCTTTCTAACCCTGTTTGGGATGAACAGTGTATGGTTTTGTCCCGTCAAAGGCGTCCTTCCGCGGAGCTGCCGCTGCGTCTTGGAGTAACCCGGCGACTTAGCGTGAGGAATATATTCTATTAATGGCATCCGATTCCGAGGCATAGAGCGCCGGTGGTCCTGGCGTAGAATGCCACTACATCGGCGGCGTCGACGACTGGCGCCTCGGGAGTGGCACTATGACATCGAAATTGAGATCAAGGCATTTGTTTCGGAACCGAGGGTAGAGAGTTCGTGCGCGAGGACGGCAGTGGGCGGACGTGGCGCAACTCGAACAGGTGGCAATCGAGGTGTTATCGTGAAAGGCTCCGGGTGGGAGAGTCAGTTTGGAACAGAGTGCAGGATATTGATTGGATTGCGCGAGTATCCTGGGTTCAGGCAATAATGGAATTTATTTCGCGGGTGACTTGATGTTGGTCGACAGACATGAGAGTCGTAAGCAAGCCTGTGCACCGCCACTGATGCGCCATTGAAACCGTAGGCGAGTTTACAAATTTATCCTACCTACCTACCTACCAAAATTGATATCTATCTACGTTGATGAGACTCGATGAGACTTATGATGTAAACATCCACGGACCTAAATGGGTGGGGGGGGGGGGCGGATAAAGCTAAGTATCTAAAAGCTCGTTACGGACGCGGTAAAAATCCTGAAATGAAAACCTGCGGAATAAAACATCTCGAGGGAACAGCTATCCGCACGGCGACAAACGATAGTACATGTCCCTCGTATTTCAGGAACTAGTCTAGTCAGCAGTTTGACCCACAATGGGGTTCATAATAGAGTTCTGCTCATACACAGACGCCACAAGTACCTCGGGTTGAAACTTGGAGTTAGCATTTAGATGTAAGTCCTATAGTCCTTCCATATTCGGAGGGTAGCCGCATATATCCATCTGAGGTCGCGTGCATTCAAGCTGCCTCGGAGCTATAGGAGTTAATAGGCCATCCAGACGCGGATATCACTATATCAAGTGAGGAACGGGCGTGGTTGTAGCATCTGTGCAGAGACACTAGCAATACTGGGTCACTAGTGCAGACTTCTCCCGTGGAGCAGTAGGAAGCAGTTGACTAGCTCTCTTCCTCCTTAAATATTTGAGGCAGTTTCTAGACCGATTGGGGAGCGTGGGTGCGTGGGCGAGCTAGCGCCGATTGGCTAGACCTAGTAGTCTTCCAGAAATACATCCAAAGTGCGCATGTGACCCCCGCACTTTAGGTCGATGAAGGGCTGCCGATATCAACGAACCTCACAAAGCCTCGAGTTTTCATAATTACTTATATTTTTCCGCTCGATTTGAGCTGCGGACCAACCCCACAGGGGCAGTCATATTCGGCCAAAGCAATCGCCGCCAAATTAGATTCTAGAAGACCTCGATGCGGCCACTATGCGGTTGGCCCTCGCTTCGCTTCCTATTCTGCAACCGTTCAATCGCCTGTTCGCCGCCGTCACATTCCTTGAAAAGCTCGATGCGGCTGGTGCGTGTGTATCCCTCGCTTCACCCCCCTCCTCTCACCCTGACTTTACTATCACGATGGGTCTCGTGGGCAAGGTTGGAAAGCTGTTTCAAACCGTCTACATCTTCGGGGGGGATGCGTTGCTCACTGTGATCAATCTCGTCACTCCGAATCTGAAGGTTGGGACCGTCGTCCCTCACGGAAGTCCGGGGGCGGGGGGTAAATGGCCCGAGTACGTCCCGCCAAAGGAAGGCGACAGTCGGTGCTGCTGCCCGGCGCTGAATGCCTTGGCCAATCATGGTATCAACTGTCTTCAACTTCCATTTAATTAGGGACTAACACGTCTGGCAGGAATACTTCCCCGTGGTTTGCCAAGCCGTCTACCCAAGATCCGGATGTTTGATACTTAATATTTCTGTAGATGGCCGGAATATCAAGTTCACCGACATGACCATGGCCGTTCGACACACGTACAACTTCTCCATCTCATTCTCCTCTTATGTGCCGATCACCATCGCGGGGATGTTGAAAAAGGACTATAGAAAGGTCCGTCGGGCGGTAACACTGATACGAAGGCGGTCCTCATTATTGGTTACAGGATACATTCGATCTGGCGGAGATTGGTTTGCACAACGCAATCGAACACGATGCGTCCCTCGTCAGTACGTTCCAGAACTGTCTACATTTGCCGTGAATCCTGGGTCTGATTCGGTCCCAGGACAAGACGTCAGATTTAACCCGGACCAAGGAAAGCCGTACCTGCCATACGTCAACGAAGTCCTCGCGTCCGCTAGCGGTAAAGACAAGGAGGGAAATCCAATCATCACCACCGCCGACTTGTCGCGCTGCCTAGCCAAACGCCGCGCGGAAGCGAGAGCATTGAACCCAGACTTCAGCCTCAGCACGTATCACAGATATGTCGGCAGCTCCAAGTACGTTTTGTTTTTGATCCATTGCGTGGTGCAGGGCTGAGATCCGGAGCAGCTCTTCGGGTTTTATCACGATCTTTGGGGGCCGAATCGCGGACCTCGAGCCGTGGCTGGTCGAGGAACGCATCCCGGAGGGCTGGGAGCCGCGGGTCCTAACGCGCATGGGCATGACGATCTTGACGCTCAACGTGTCCACGGTTTTGAAGATCGAGAACGGGGTGAAGGAGGAGGAATATGTCGCTCCCACGGAGACTGATGCCGTGACCATTTGAGGCGTGTTATGTGAACTTTCACCACTTTCTTGTACTTGACGAACATTACGTATATCATTAGGGTTCATGTTTGGGTCTACAATCCTGAGCCCGACTTGCTCAGTTCAGATTTGAAATAATATTTATAATGGATTTGGTGTGAGCTTTAACTGTCTTCCTTTGAGAAGACAGGGCGCCACTGTACTTCCATAGGTTCTTATTCAGCCTCGATAAAACGACACGAGGGGTTTAGAGCTTCGATACTTTAACTGAAGTTGAACTTCAGCCTCGTTCAATTTTTCATTTTGTTGCGAATAAATCCCCCACTCAGGCAGGCGCTAACGGGAGAGGCATCACAACGGCCGCCTGGCGAAATGGCATCGCGTCTGACTACGACTTATGAAGATGGTATCAGGAGATTGCAGGTTCGACCCCTGCGGTGGTCATAGCTTTTTCGTTCCTCTGGCTTGCTCCCCGCGTCTTTTCTATCCCGAAGAATCACTTGGCATTCGTTTCCCCTACTGGAAATTTTTTGGAAGTCTCACAGAAGATCGGCCGAGGTGCCAAGCTTATGAAATCTTGGCGGAGATAACTCATATCGGCCGCCTGGCGAAATGGCATCGCGTCTGACTACGATATGAGCACCCCAGGTGTAAAGCGGAATCAGGAGATTGCAGGTTCGACCCCTGCGGTGGTCATTCTACGTTCCACACTTTTTTCCTCTTTGTGACCTTCCTTTTTTCCCGTCTGCTCCGTGCTCGGTGTCTGGTCTCCATAATCCGCGAAGTCCCGCTATCCCAGGCTATCCCCGCCGGAGGGTGTCTTAAATTTGAATCCTCATGCAGATATGTGCGGGGATTCCGGCTCCCTCGGACTTGACGTGCGAGTCGGATCTGCGCGCCAACGCCACGCGAAACTGATACGCCGGGAGTTGACAGCGGCGTAGCGTGAGTATGTGGCCGGGTCGGGGTATGTGTTTCAAGTAACTTTAAGTAAGTCTCTGCTGACGGGTATGTACGGATGAACGGAGAAGGGAGGGGTGCGCGCGTGGATAGATCTGCGTGAGTGTGAAGTAATTAAGTAGATGACCGGGCCCGGGGTATCAGACTATCAATTTGAACTTAAGTTGGGTATCATGATGGCCTAATAGCCTAATAGCTATCGCGCGGCGGGGGTTGGGTTGTTGGGTGAAGAACTTGGGAAGTCTGGCTGGCTCTGCATCGGCTGTATCTTCTTTGGCCGGGACTTAGAGGTTCAAGTTGGATCATGGATGTATTTGAACCGTTTGGAATTTCGCGCCCCAGAAGGGGAAGTAATAGTACTACAAGAGTTGGCGCACGCATCAAGTTCAGCTCGGGGCCGGCGCAGGAGTTAATCTAACCGTGCCGCAGCAGGAGCGTGAATCAGATCTCAGACGTTGTTGGACATTCTACGACTCTCTGATTAGATTAGATGAGGTGAGGTGAGGTGCAGGGCTGGGATTGATGAGTACTAATATTATTATGATCGACGCATGGACATGGACAGATGGTATCATGAGTGGCGAAACAGGAACAGGGGTTAACGCTAGGTTATAATTATGTGTAGGAGCGAAACGCCGAACGGCATATGGTCGGTGGGCGTATCATGATGGGCGTTTGAGTTGAAGATGGGTAGTTATTGGGATCGGCATTTTTCCGTACGCTGGGGGAAATAATGATTGGCAGATGGAATAGATGGATTCAACTGCATCTGCGTTTGGTTGCGTTTTGGGCGCGAGGTTACGTTGAGGCGACCGAGGTTGAGGCGCTCAGTGGTTATGTTATGCCAACTGTGGTTGCGTTCTGCGGTGATGGATGTTTGCGTTGAAGATGGGTGGTTATTAATATTGTGATCGGCTGAGATTTTGAAGAACGCTGGAGGAAAGGGAAAGGAGGGTGGGGGGCATAATTTGTGAATAATCGATGCTTGCCAGACGGGACTGGAATGCGAGATGGACGGGTGAACTGCGGTGGGTTTTGGTGTGACTTGGGCTTGGCGAAATTGGAATTCGGCCGTTGAGGCCATGCATGGGGATGAATGCTTATGGAGATAAAAGGACGGAGGAGTGGTTAGGTGAGCGCTCTCCGAGCGAAACGAGAGTTGTTGATTTATTATCAAATCCCGTCCTGTCGACGGCGGGCGCTTGATGTATCTTCCTCGGTTCCTTGGGCTCGGTCGGAGGTAGAAGACGTCTTCTTAGTTCTCAAGGGCGCTTACCCGGCGCGTACATGTGGCGTCCGTCGAGCCGGGGTGCCGAGGGCCCAGAGCAGGGAACGTGGGGAGGGTAGGACGCATCAGGCGCGCGGGAGGTATCGATGGACGGGACGGCGGGTCGGGATTGCCGGATGGGGAGAGGGGTACACGTGGACAAGAGGCTAGGTGTGCTTGTAGGACCGTGACGAACTTGCGGTCGGAGTTCCGAGTCCGAGGGTTGAAATAGATTACTCTATACGCCGCGGCGTGGAGGGGTACACGTGGGCGAGAGGCTAGGTGTACTCGTAGGACCGTGACGAACGAGAGAATTGCGGTCGGAGTCCGAGGGGTGAAACAGATTACTGTATACGCCGCGGCGTGGAGGGAGGGGAGATTAGATAACGAGTCGGCGTTGATAGACAGATTGGATGGAATCATAATAATCGGTGATACAGTAGAGTAGTCTTAGAAGGATACCGTAACGAGCGGCCGCGGGGAGCAGGATGGGGTGAATGAAACACGGAGAAGCGAGACACAGAGGAGGTCGGCGCGGATGGGCGCCCGGCGCTCGGTGGATGATCTCTTGATACTAGTCAGAGGCCGACGTGATTTTTGAAGGTTCCCAAGTTGCGAGGGGGCTTCAACTGAGAGCCGGAGGCGGTCTAGACAAGGGTGCCCGGTGAGAGCTTGAGAGGTAAGGGCTTCCCCGCAGTAGAAGCGGAGAGTGTGCGACCTGCCGAACGGTGTGTGCGAACTGCCGAATGACGCATGTGGGAACCTGCCGACTCGGAGCGAGGTGTGGGACTCGGAGGACGGAGTTTAAGTGCGGGAGAAGATTCAGACGCACCTGCGCAGATCGATGTTGCCGTATTCGAATTCGAATTGTCAGGGAGAGCGGATGACGTCGGTGCGGTGTAAGTTTAATTGAATGGTTGATTATAGCATGTTGACGTAGGGGACGCAGAGGGGGGACATAGTGGTTTGATTCTTGAATCTTGAATCTTGAATGACTCCGAGTGGTTGGACAGTGTGATTAGAGGAGATGACTTGGAGCGCCGGGGGTGATTGGTGATAGGTACTAGAGGTGATAGGCAGAAAGATTAATGGAGGTGATGGGTTAATCGACGCAAGGGGAGTGATAAGTATTATGAGCGGCGAACGCGTAGTCGGGTGGGTCCAAGGTTGGAGGTGATAGACGCTTTGCAGATTAATGGAGGTGATGGGCTGATGGACGGAAGGAGAGTGATAAGTATAATGAGCGGCGAAACGCGTAGTCGGGTGGGTGGTATACGGCCGAGAACCCACGGCCGCGGGGAGTGGGGTGCGCGCACGCGAAACACGTGGTGTAGGAGTTGGATTTCTGAATGAGCACTTAGCGCGCGGGTTTTGAGTCTTTTCTTGGACGTGAGATGAATTAGATTCAGAGTACCAGGGGTATTCTAAGGTGGGAGGTGATAGACCCTGTAGATTAATTAGAGTGCCAGTGATAGACTGATACTGATAGACGGATAGGCCCGGGAGCGTGCTAAGTATAACGACTCGGAGCGACACAGAGGGGCCGGCGGATATAGCGGGCGGCCATGGAAGACAGAGAAGGAGAAGTAGACGCAGAGAAGGAGGGATCGAACAGGGATAGAAGGCAAACAAACGAGTAGAGAGGATTCCGAATTCGGACGAGGTTCCCGTTCGACGTAAGGTCCGGCTTGTTCACCTGAGCCCGAGCCTGAGTTCGGCGTATTATTTTCCGGGAGGGACGCTTCTGAGGTCTCCGCAGCAGCTGTGGGCGCCTTGGGTGGGAGCGGCGCGCGCGGGGAGAGAAGAAGGCGGAATCCGGATCGATGCCGGTTCAAGCCGCGAACAGAGAATGACATCAGACTCGGAGAAATGTGCGAGAAGAGGGGGGCTTGGCTTTGGGTTGGATAAATTTGCGTCGTGGCATGCCACTCGGAGGGTTCGACGGCTATACATAATTAATTAAAGTTGAGGCTGGGGAAACAAGGGACGCAGGGCAGGGATATTAATAGAGAATAGACGAGTCCTGATTAATATTGTTGATTCTCGGATGAATCATGAAAGGGACGCGAGAGGGGGAGGGAGGGGTGGGATTAAATTGGGGTGTTGATTAATTCGTGATAGGCTCGTACTAGGACTGGATGATCATGATCGACACTGGCAGACTCGGATTGGTGGAGGACGGGGTAGAGGGTAGAGGACGGGATAAATAAGCAGAGGACCGGAGACCGAGATGCCGAGATAAAGGTGACCCGCGTTGGCTTGGGCTGGGACGTCCTCCGTGCGGCGCGCGCAGCAGGCACCGTGGGCATCTTGTGGTGCTCCCAAGTTCTTGGCGCCGCCACTGGGAAAGAGGGAGACAAAATAGTGAACGTGCTGGAAACTCTAGACTCGGGCTATTAATAAGAGCGGAGGCTCGGCTTGGCTTTGGATTTCGCGGCGGACATAATTTGCGTCATGGCATGCCACTCGGAGGGTTCGACGGCTATAATTAATTACAGTTGACGCAGGGGAAACAAAAACCGCAGAGCTCATGATGAATATTAATAGACGAGTCCTGATTAATATTGTTGATTCTCGGATGAATCATGAAAGGGACGCGAGAGGGGGAGGGAGGGGTGGGATTAAATTGGGGTGTTGATTAATTCGTGATAGGCTCGTACTAGGACTGGATGATCATGATCGACACTGGCAGACTCGGATTGGTGGAGGACGGGGTAGAGGGTAGAGGACGGGATAAATAAGCAGAGGACCGGAGACCGAGATGCCGAGATAAAGGCGACCCGCGTTGGCTTGGGCTGGGACGTCCTCCGTGCGGCGTGCGCAGCAGGCACCGTGGGCATCTTGTGGTGCTCCCAAGTTCTTGGCGCCGCCACTGGGAAGAGGGAGACAAAATGGGAGTCGAAATTGAACGTGCTGGAAACTCTAGACTCGGGCTATTAATAAGAGCGGAGGGCTCGGCTTGAGTTTGGATTTCGCGGCGGACATAATTTGCGTCATGGCATGCCACTCGGAGGGCTCGACGGCTATAATTAATTACAGTTGACGCTGGGGAAACAAGAACCGCAGAGCTCATGATGAATATTAATAGACGAGTCCTGATTAATATTATTGATTCTTGGATGAATCATGAAAGGGAAGTGGAAGCGGGAGGGGGAGGGAGGGGTGGGATTGGGATCCAAGCTGGGTATTGATTAATTCGTGATAGGCTCGTACGAGT